ATCTCCAAACAAAGTGTATTATTATTCTTCACAAGGGAAGTTGTCTGTGACATCTTGGTTTTGTTTTTTTTTTTTCTGTCACCCTGTTTCACAGGTAGTGCTGGCTTGCTCAGGGACCATTTCAGCAGATCATACACATTAGTCAAGATCTAAAATACCTCCCCGCACCATATGCTACCTAAAGTATAATAATCCTTTAATCTGTCCAATGCATGACATCTGGGCAGTTATTTGAGTTACTAACTCCTGTCGATTGTTCATATCAGTATGTATCAGAGGGGGAAAGTGCCAAAGCAGTGGTGGAGAGATGAGGATTTAGGAAAATGCCTGTGGGGAAGTGCCTTGGATCAGGGGAGACCTGCCTGTGGTGTGGCAGGTGACCAAACCACCACCAGTGTGGCTGTGCAAAATCTTTATATGAGAATAATATTATTCTGAGATAAGCACAAAACAGGACAGCAGGGGGAGGATGAGCTACCAGGACCCAAGTTACAGAAGCGCATTAATATTTACTCGATATCTCTTTATACCCTCTAGTCAGCACAACAGATGTAGCTGTGTTTTAAGACATTATAATTCATTGAAAAGGGCAATAAAGATACTCTTTTCCTCCCTCCTGTCCCCAGTAATTTCAGATGTTCACCATGCACACAGAGGGGGAGGAGGCAGAGAGACAAGCGCTGGTGGGAGAAGAATGCAATTATCCCAAAGCCTCCTGACGGGCATCCACTTCTTCCTTCCAGCTTAGCTGCTCTGACCACAGGCTGGGGGCTCGTGGGACATGGACCAGATTGAAAAAGTGGAAGCAGACAGATGGTTATTTGTAATCATCATGTAAATGTAAATCCTATAAAAATGTTTTCTTTCTAAGGGCCTAAAAGCTGGAAAGAAGGATTAAGGCATGGATATCTAGCCTAGAATAATTTTGACCCCGCCACCTTCCCTCCTACCCCATGAACATTGTGCCTTTATCTCCACTTCCTTTAAACAAATCGCTGGAACCTGAGCCGAGGAAATTAATTCAGTTTCCATGTAATTCCCTGAGTTTATGAGCCTCAGTTTGACCGAGGCCTGGATTTGGGCCTAAGCTGGCAGGTGCTGGTTAGCAGCTGCCTTGGGAGCAGGGGCTCCTTTTTGCTTCTTTCCCCTCATCCCTCGCTCTGGCAGGTGCGTGCTCCGTGTGTTTATCCCATTGCTGGATGTGCTCCCTTTCCCTCGTTACACTCCTGGCTACCTGGAAATGGCTGTGCAGGGCTTTGCTTGCCTTAAAGACTGCTCGCAGACATCTATCTTGTTTGAGCAGCATCAGCTTGTTTGAGCCACAAAGAGACTGATCAAACTTTAATTAACTTTTGTCTGCAGCGCCGTTGTAGGCTGTGTGTGTGCTTTAGCTGTTCTTTGCAGTCCTCCAGTCCCTCAGTGCCTTTCCAGACAGTGGGGCTCGGCCATCTGGAAGCTTTTGCCCTTGCAAGGCATTCCCTTTTGAAATGTGAGGGTGTTTGTGCTGCTGTCAGGCTGGTGGGGGGAACAGCCCCTGGGGTACGACTGTGCTGTGGTCCCAGGGTTGGCATGCAGTGTAGGGGGGCCATCTTCCCCTTTGGCACCCCTTGTTTAGTCATAAAATCACAGCAAGGTTTGGCTTGGAAGGGTCTTAAAGATCACGCAGTACCCCATGGGCAGGGACACCTTTCCTAGACCAGGTTGCTCAGAGCTCCACCCAGACTGGCCTTGAACATTTCCAGGGATGGGGCATCCAGAACTTCTTTGGGCCTCGCCACCCTTAAAGTAAAGAATGTGAGGTAACACCCAAAAACGTAGGGAAGCACCAAGGGAGCTGTCTGTAAAATTGGAATAAAACAAAGCAAGAACATCCAAGAAAGAATGAGGAAGAGGAGGCTGGCGGCAGCATAGTGCTACTTGTGTTGAATTTTTAAAACACTAGTGTTTGTGCCCTGCCAAAAGGGTCCTGAGGATGGCTGACTTCTCAGGTGAACAAAAGCATTTGCCTGTGTGTGGAGAGGGTAGTCTACTCAGGCACACTAATAGTTATTTGGATGTACCCAGCAATTGTGGATAATTGGCTGAGGAATATTCTGCAGCTCTCAATTATTTTTCTGTTTTCACAGGTGGTTGTACTATTAGGTATGGTGAGTGCACCAAGATGTGCTGCAGCTTTTCCATTTACTGTGCTAGTACATGTGAACTCAACTTCCAGTTGATGGTTCTTCCTTCTGTGGCTTGCTGTGCCACTCCAGGAGGACAGCCAAGCTCACCAGCTCATGCTCTGCCCTCCTCTTCCCTGCTTCCTCTCTCTTGGGGTGATATTTGGATGTTCTGGGGTTACTGGGCTGATCAGATTAATGTCTGTGCTTTATTTCATTGTTGTTAGATTGCATAAAAATACTGAATCACAGGAATGGCTGCCTGTGGTTTTTTTTGTGCTTTATCTTGTTTTTCTCTCTGCTTTTGTTCTTCTTTTTCCCTTCCTTTACCTGGCTTTTTCTTTTTTTGTTTCCCTAAAGTTACTGTTCCCCCTCTTCCTCTCTGAGTTATTTTCTCACTTTAATTTATATTTCATGCATTTTTATCTTATCTTTGCTTTTCTGTCACTGCTTTATTTTTTCCTTCTTTCTTTTTTCTTCAACATTTTTTTTTCCCTCCAAAACACAGAATGCTTTAGATGGAAATGGTGAGATATACCTATTCAAGATTCAGGTGTGTGCTGAGGTACAGAGCAAGATTAAGCAAAGCCTGTAGCATCAATTTTGTCTTCTATTCAAGCCAGTTTTGCAGTGCGGCTTTTGGGTAAAAGAATATGATAAAATCAAATCACCTCTTAGCCTCATATTCTGAGGCTGATTGGAACCTTACACAGTTGCTGGGATGATTCAGAGAAAGTTAATGTAATTTGCTGTGTATCACTGCAAGAAACTGTGTTTGTCAGGTTCATACAGCAGTGTGAAATGTTCAAGGAAAATGCTTCCCTTAAATATTGCTGCCAGGAGTTAGGAGTCAGGAATATAAAGCCATTATGTGGTGGGATCTGCTGATTTTTCTAGGGATTTTCCACTAATGGATTTACACTGAAGTTCTGTAATTACATGTAGAACCAAACCAATAAAAATAATATTTATTTTGTGTGTAATAACAGTAGCAGAAATTAATTTTTATCTATTTACCAGTTATGCAAATGTGGGCATAGCATTGTCTAGAAGTACTTTTTCTTCCTATGTATCATGGGGATCACAGAGACATATGAAGCTGCTTTCCTAAAAAACATGATTTTTTAAGACTTTTTCTGGTTCTTTCTCTGACATTCCCGTGATATTGACTTTCTTGGCTTTCCAAAGTGTTGTACTGCCAATAGTCAGCAGCCCATGATCTTCATCATAGTAATTCTGTGCTCTGCATTGCATAAGTTACTTCTTCCACTTGATCTTGAAGTTGTATAAATTCCATTTCTACCAATTTGATTATTGTGAATCGGAAGGTTTGTATTATTCAGAAACATTTGGGGATTGAGGTTTTTGCTGTCTATTGGGTGTGTCACCTAAGAAGACTACAGGTTCTTGCCGGAGCTGCATTTGTTGCCAGCTGCCTCCTGTCACTTTATTTTATGCTTCAAGAGCGAGACCTAAATAGTCACTCTTTGTGTGTGTGTGTGTGTTAGAAAAGGAATTAACTTCCAATTAATTCCCTCCTTCCTCTGGGATCTACCTGTGTATCCCAAAATGGAGAACAATAAAAGTTACCTCTGTGTCATTTCGAGTGCCAGATATATACAGCCCACTCACCTCAGACTATTCAGAGACCAAATCTTGTATGCATTAATCATATTTTTCTTCTGGCTTATTACAGGAGAGAAAAATATTCAGTTCCAAATGTTAAAATGGGGCACGTTTTATTAACATTGAAAGCAGTAAATTATCTCTGCTTATGAAATGAGACTGAGCAATTTCTGCTGAACTCTTCCTGACTTGCCCCTTCACTAGGATACAGTGTTTTCTAATTTCTCAGAGGGCCATGGTTCCATTAAGGGCGAGAACTGTTTTAAAGCTGTAATGAAAGCCATGCGTAGCTGAAATTCAAGGAGGGGCGATGCCCTAAATTCTATTTCAGTGGCTCATCTAGAGCAATTTTCAGTTTTATGTTTATAAGAATGTCAATTAACCTAGAGACTAGGACACACATGGAAGAATAAGGATGAAGTGGATATCATTGTAACACACTGAAGCCAGCTAGTTGGACCTAATCCTTTACAGAAGCTTGGTTTATGTAAGAAGCCAGTCTATGTAGCCTAATTTAGTTCTCAAACAGCTTGGTGATTTAAATGCTCTTTCTTTTCAAGGTAGTAGGATAGGGCTGGTCAAGGTGGCAGAAATATTGGAACTAAAAATATAGAAGGAAGAAATAAATGTGCTGGAAGTGCATTACTATCAGTTTTATTTCCCTGGCACCTTTCAGAACTGGTGACCATTTTAGCATGTATGTGCCAGAAATAGGATAATACCAGTAATAATGGCAATGCCCTTAGCCAAGGTGTAACTCTGCAGTTCAGTATTAGTTCTGTCCCTTTCTTACCTTCTGCTGGGATTGGAGACCCAGACAAGGCAGATATTCAGCGGGTTGTTTTCTGTCATGAAAAGAACTCAACATCCAACTGCTTTTGTAATGATGGAAAGTGATCCTGTCAAGGTTAAGAGGAGTAATGGGTACTACAAATCTTTGTAACTTAAATACAGAGCAGTGTTTTTATCTGGAAAGAAAAAAATAAAAGGGAAAACAAAAGCCCTGTGTGTGAAGTCTGCCTCTGCTGGACAAAAGGGCATATCTGCCCAGCTTCATTTTTGAGATTTTTACTGTCAATACAAGAAGTAAAGTCATCACCTGATAATGATTTAGAGTTGTTTGTTTAATAGTAGGTGTTTCTACATTTTTATTCCTCCACTTATGATGTCATCACTTCTGTTAATTGTTTTTCCCTTCATGTATTGCTCTAGTGCTACGGGATGACTTCCGCCAGAACCCTACGGATGTGGTGGTGGCAGCTGGAGAGCCCGCAATACTGGAGTGCCAGCCGCCTCGAGGGCACCCCGAGCCCACCATCTACTGGAAGAAAGACAAAGTCCGCATTGACGACAGGGAGGAGCGCATCAGTGTGAGTACAGCTCAGCTGGTTCTTTATCTGTGCACACAGGGCCCACAGCTGGGTGCAGCTGGGCTTACACGGCTTTACAGCCTTGCCCATAGAAATTGGTTGTTATTCTCGGCAGTTTGCCTCTCTGAGCTTTTCCAAATGAGGGGGGAAGGCTGTTTATTGCTACTAGTCTGGCTCTCCAGCTTGAGCTTCTTTGAGGCTTGGTTTGTAGATCCAGCGTGATGGAGATTCTTTAGAGCTGGAGATCCAATGATAGAAGGTGCTCAGTTAGATGAAGGACCTAGTGGATGTCTTTGACCAGTTTGGTTTTACCTTTTCTACATCTCTGTTCTCCAAACAGAGAATATCAGAGAGGTGTTTATAAGTAAATTCAGTCAAATATATGAGGTGCACAAATAATCCCTGGGAAAAAACCCAACATCTTAGAATGATACCAGTAATTTTATAGTTATTGCAGTAATTTGGATGTGTCTAAATGTAAGCTGAAGTCAGTGTAAAGAATTACGGTTCCTGAAAAGGAATAAATGTTGAGCAAATGAGTAACACTGGTTGAGTTCTGTGGCCGTTCATTTAATGTACTGAATGAAAAAGGATCCAGCAGAAATATTGAACTTATCAAGTGATTAGAGATAAATCATGGTCCATGCAAGCAAATGGGATAAATTAAGTGGTTGAGAACATGTTTCATTCCTAATTTTTAAATGGTTAGCTTTTCACCATTAATATTTCTTCAATAAAGTTTTATATTGTATGGAATGATTCAGTGCTGACCTTATTCAACATGGAAGTACTATCAGGAAGCTTGTTAGTGACTCTGGATCCCTAAGGAATTATTCCAAGCCAGAGAAGCTGAGATGTTGCTGTTTGTGGACCAGGCTCTCTGTGCTAGGGTCTACTCAAGAGTAGAAGAGCAAAGAGTGGCAGAGAACTGGCTATCATTCCCTGACTCTCAAGTTTCTTGGGTTAAATTCCCAGCTTATTTTGAAGCACCCCATCGTCTAACCTTTGACACTGTGACTTCACAAGCCACAAATTTTTACTTTATTTCTTTCATATATCCTGCTCTTTCATTCTGTAAGCACCTTTTATAGCCAATAAAATATTAACTGTCAGGTGAATTCCCAGTTTGGGCCAGATTCAGTCTTTTTGCCTCAAAAAAAGGGAAAATCTGTCTTTATTAGTGATCAAGGAAGCTGTTCAGACACCAATAAAGTAAAATTAACTAAATAAAACTGAGTCAAATTGCCTTGTTTTTTTCAGAGAGATGTCAAGAGTGCTTTACATATTACCATGCAAGAAATAAAAGTACTCTGTGCTGCCAAGAGACAGCAAGAAATGTGATCTTTGAAATGTAAAGAATCTAATGAAAGCCAAAGGACCAAGATCAAATGCAGTTGAAATCAGTTGCAAATTGAAATTAGTCAGTGGGATAAAAATGTGTTCTAGAACAACTTAAAGAGATATTTAAATATGTAATTTTAAAAGTATACATATATTTACAAACAAAAGTTTAGAATGTCTTCATTGTAGAACTTGTCGCCCAAGAAGGTAGCACTTTTTCTGATGTATCTTATTTACCTGAAATTAAAAATATGTTCCTTGTTTTGAAACAGATCCGTGGTGGGAAGCTGATGATCTCCAACACCAGAAAAAGTGATGCAGGAATGTACACGTGTGTGGGGACCAACATGGTGGGGGAGCGCGACAGTGACCCTGCAGAGCTGACTGTCTTTGGTAAAGACACTCCTGCTTTTATTGATTTTTCCTTACAAATTTTGTAGGCTGAATTACCCTGTGTGGCTCCTCAAAACACGAGACAAAGCAAGGTTAACAAAACACAGCAGTACTGCTCAAGATGCACTTCACAGCTTCAGAGGGAGACTAACTTTTAAAAGCTGCAGTTTATATACACACAGATAGAGCTGTGGTGGCTCAGCATTTTCTTTCTAAGGACATAGTTTCAGTCTGATTGGATGTCCACAGTGATGTGCATAACCAGAGATGTTATTGCAGGACAATGCTTTCCCTCACAGAATGGCCAAATGTAATTAAACTACTTCTAATACAGTTGACACTGCCTGCTTACCAGAGATTTAGACCAGGATTGCCTATTTAAATAATTACATATTCCTGAGAGGTTGTGAAATCAAACCTTTGTAGGAAACCACAAAAAAACTCACTTGATCAGTAAAACATCATTAGAGACAATTCCAAAATCAAATTTTTGAATATATAGAGGTAACTTTTGGCATTCATTTTTAAGAGGACCTGAAACAGCTTTTCCTCCTGTGAGCCAGGACAGCATTTAGATTTTTTGTGCTGCTGAATGAATTAAAAATGAATAAGCTTCCTGTGTGAAAGAGCTTCTAGACCTGATGGGCAAGGCAAGAAGTGGGTTGTTAGAAGCACTTGTCCCATGGTTAGGGTCCAGAGCAAGAGCAGAGTAATAACCCAACCTAGGGCTTGATCCATCCTGCTAACAACTGGATAAGAAGCAAAGCCACAAAATCATGCTGAGGTACATCCTACAGTCATGGGTTTGTAGGAATTAGTCAAGAGGTTCTGAGCAAACAAAGGAAGATCAATAAGGAAAAAACCCTCGCTGCAAAGGAAAACATGTCTATGCTGACAAAAGAGAGAGAAATAGTGTTAATGTTCCATCCTGCTACACCTCTTTGATACACTACTGAAGTTCCAAATAAGACCCTTTGTAACCCCAGAGAGACATTTAATAGAAATCCTAAGGTCCTTTGTGAAGAAGATGCTCCAGAGATTTTTCACCTTCTGCCTAATACAGTGCACTGGAAAACCCAGTCACACATATTGCCATCCCAGTTTTTGCATGTATGTGCAATTCAGCATTTGTTTATCTACTTGAAAAGAATATATATGTTATGTGATTCACAGAGAAAGGCAGAGAAAGATTTTTGCTAGACAAGATCCACAAATTTCTGAGGATATGCTGCTTTCCAGTTTTTTTCAAGACTGAAAAGGTTTCCACTCCAACTGGTTTGTTGTGGATTCATGGAAATATGTGGCTTTTAAAGGCAGAACTGTTATACTTTGCCAAAAAAAAAAAAACCCAGAGAAAGGATCTCTGTCCAATTATTATGCCCTTTGCAGCCAATCTGTTAGAGTTGTAGCTTTATACAGATGCAAAGGAGACATGACATATCTCCTTCATCAGTTTAAGTACTGCTAATCTCTGGTAATACTCCCTGTGGATAGCAAGCAGATTGCAGCCCTTAACTACAAAGCCTTAAGAAATCCTTAAGAAAATAATTTGTTAAAAAGCATTGAACTGTAGGAATGAAAACTGAAATGTGCATGTAATTTCATATCCTGCAGAGCTATGAAGCATATTAGGTTGGTCTTGATATGTAAAATAATACATAACCAATTACAATATTCTGATTTTTTTTACAGGGTATAATCATAGCAATCAACTTGCAAAAATACAATCTAAAACTATTTGGTGAATACCAAACAAAATCAGCAATAAATGAAATTAGATATTTTAATCCTTCTTAATTGTGTTAGACTACCTGAAGAAAATTATATTTAAAATTCCCCACCACGGTATCTTCCTATCTACATTTCTCCTTCTATCTGGGTATTCCCAGGTACCTCCCCACCTTCCATTTTGCTGTGCAAGAATAACATGCAGGAAGCAGGTGCTCAGGTTATGACCTGCTGTCTCACAAGATGGTTTGCCTGCCCTGTGCCCATTTCCTGGCCCTGAAGCTCTGTGCTGGTGCATTGGGCTCTCTGTAAAATCGTGTCCAGGGCAGCCCTGGTCCTCTCCATGCAAAAGGAGGGCACCTGCCCAGCAGTTATATTCCACCCCTGGACTCCAGGCAGCAGCCCATGTGTGAGCAGGGATGTGCACAGTGACTGGAGAGCATTATCCATGATGTTTCCAGGAAGCAATGTATCTACTGGACAGTCCAATCGCTCTAAGCACTCACAATAAATCCAATAAATCCAACGACTCTGGGAAACGTCAGATTGGCTCTGTGTGTTCAAATTGGCTTCACTGAGCACAGGCAAAACCACCAGGATCGTATGTTAGGTCCACAGACTTCCTCTAGTATGACTCACAGGTCTGAGGAACATGGGAATACTGCAAATGTTGATGAAAAATATACTGGAAATACTTACATTCAATTCATGTGCCAAACTTTAACTGCCTTGAACGTAATTGAAAATGGACTTCACAATAAAAATAAGGAGATCTTGACTGAGTGACTTTGAGGATTTTAATAGGGGACTGGCAAGCCTATAGCTCGTTCTGATTCTGGAAAGGGATGTATATTAGTTAGCTGATCAGTCATGTCTTCATTCCTTTCTTAAATAACAACCCTCCAAACCTTTTCCACAGTGTGAAGGGAGCCTTAGTAAAAGGAACTGTTTCATACTAGCTCTCAAACCTTTCCAGAAGCCATCTACTTGTTACTTTTGGCTTTGCAAGTTTTTCTGTAATACCTGAAGTTAACTTCTGCATGTGACTTGTGACTGATCTCTGGCTCCCTGTACAGTAAATTTAGCTTGAGGCATTGCCTCTGGAAAAACTGAATCAGTGTGGTGGGAGCTGGTGGCCCAAGGGGAACAGCATGGAAGCCTAGCCTGAAAGATTAAACTTTTCCTGAGTTTAAAAACAATAAAATAAAATGGGTCATAAGAACCTTGGGAAGCAGTAGGGGGAGAAAATAAAATTTTCCCATGTGCAGAATAGGTACCCGTTCAATAACCTTTACTGACAGATAGTTATGAATAATACATGTTGGACTTTCACTTTTTTTTTTCCAAGTGTATCTGCATAGGAAACATTGCTTTCAACATTTAGGCACTCTTAACAATAAACTGGTAGTGTCAATGCAGATTGCATTAGTTTTGTTCCCAAGTCATGATTCTTCTATTAGTAGAAAATTGGCAAGCTTTCATAGTAAAATACCATAAAGATCATATAAGCAGTGCTATCCAAACCTGTGTTTTGAATTGTGATGAAGATGCACTACATTTTGTTAGTCTTCTTTTTCAAGCATTACTGCTAGTTTTTGCCTTTATGAGCTCTGAGGTGTAATCTTGGAGTAAAGCAGAAAGGATCTGTTACAGTCTTAAGTTGCACTTTAAAGGAAGTTAATAACCTCAGTCCTAATGTTCACAAGAAGAGGCAGCATGGGACTTGATTATTGTGTGCACACTATTCTAAAGGCCAATTTCCAAAGTGTAAGTGATACAAATTAGGCTGCATTGCTTGTGTTTGGGCTCATAGCCCTTGGCTGAACAGAATTGAAGCAAGATGCAAAACAGAAACAGTTTAATTCCAATTTGTAATAAAGCTTTGTTTGTAAATACATAATATGGAGACAGAAATTAAATAAAGAGGGAATTACTCCTTATGATAACCTTTATCATTTTGTCATGCTACTTCACCATTCTGAGATAAGTTTTCAAGTTAACTGTTTCATGTTCTTTTATTTCCCTTTGCACTTAAAATGGCATGTTTGAAGAGAATGTACAAAGCTATATCTTGTATATTGATTCCAAAGCTCAGTGAAATCAATGAAAGCCGTAGTATATCAACTTCAAGAGGCTGGCATCAAGCAGTGGAAAAAGATATATTTAGAAGAGCCTCAAAAAGAATATAAAGCATAAGTAAGAAAAGTAAAAAAATATCTTTAAAAGATGTGTCAATTTGGACATATTAAAGATTGTTTTGGATTAATCTTTGATTTTATCTTTGGTATCTGAACCTTTTATCAGCTAATAAGGTCCTGTGGGATGAAGAGGTATTCTTGTCTGATGCTTGAGGAAGTGTTTGTGTTTGATGTTTTGTAGATACTGTCAGACTGAAAGAGAAATCCTAGTTTCAAAAAAAGAATGACTATGATGACATGGTGTTAGAAGAAAAAAATACCCAAAACCCCTTTAATGAAGACACTGTGCCCCATTTTACTTTCTTGAGCTCTGCCTATGTGGAAGGCCTTAGCAGAGTCTTGACCCACTGTATCCTAGAAAGCTTTTCCAGTCACATGGAAAAATCTGCCAAAACCAGGTATACATTCATAGGTCAAGACAGAGGAATCAGCAGTGTGTATTTTGTCCTTCAGATCAAATCTCTTCCTGGTTTTCTTCAAATCCTTGTATTTTCCACTTGTGGTCTACTTGTGGCAGTTTGCAAAAAGCCAGTTTAGCTTTAGATTATTTGTTATCCACAGATACCAAGAAGTTGTTATAGAATAACGATACAGCTCTGAAAAAAGTGTCGGATTTTGTCCCCAAAGTCTGTATGTAACAGGCAGTAAAAACTGGAATGAACATGATTGTAGATGTATATAAAAGGAGAAAACCACTAGGAGCTGATAACATTCATTTTACTGTATTTGCCTCTTATTGGTGTTCCGTGCCTTTACTGTGCAAGCTCATCACACCTTGGGTGCTGCTCAGAGTGTAGGAGTTTGAGATGTCTACACAAGTGCTTATTTCTTAAATGGAAATGGGAAAAGTGCCTAAAAAGATGCTGTAGGAGAATGTCTATAAATATAAAACCACCTTCTTTTGCAATTCTATTTTCATTCATTTGGACAACATAGGTAAATTTAGTGAGGTCGTAATATCCTGCCTTCTTCCACGTGTTCTTTTTTTGGTAGAGAGCTTTACTTCATCCAGATCACATTGCATTTAATGAAATATTGACAGCATTCTGAAATGAAACTTACCTCCAACTATCTAATGTTTCCTTTTTTTCCCTTTTGAATCAGAAAGCTAAAGTGCAAAAAGCTTTTAAATGTAACTATTTGCTATTAAATCCCTCCCCAAAGCCTTTTAATTTGTGTTTTAATGTTCTTTTTAGAATACAAAAACATTTTTTAAACAATGATGTCTTCTATCCAGCAAAGACAGAGAAAACAAGAACAATTCTAAATCAGATTCAGGCTCTACATTATGAAGATCATCAAATCCGTCACTCTAGCAGTTCTCTCAGCAGAGAAAATATATTAAGGTAGTTAGGATCATTTTAATTAGATTGAGGCCCCATATATGGCTGTCTAACTTTTTGAGGAACAGGAAAAGAGTAATAATACATCTGAAGGTCATCTGAGTCTCTCTAATAGACTGTGATACTCAGACCAATTGTTAAATACGGGGAAAATTGAGTTCTGAGGTTAACTTGTGTCAGCACCCAGAGCAAGAAAAGCATTTTGCTTCTTCTGGCTCAGATCTACAGGTTTCCTTGCAGCACATATCTCAACCACTGCAACAGATTGTAGGTGTGTGTCCAGATTGCATTAACAATCCCCTTTTATAACTGCAAGCAAAGTTTATTCTGAAGTTATAAAGGTCACTCTAGTAATAGCATGACTGTTTGACATGACATATAACCATGACCTATTTTATAGTTCTCTTCAAAGATTTTTAATATTCATCAGAGAAAGTCTGGGAAGTGGGTACTTTATTTACTCAGTGAAAGCTTATAAAATAGCTATATTAAAATTTTTATATATGCCTATGATTGTAATTTATCACCCTTTCTTGTTGTTTCTCAAATATATTGTGCTCTGGATACTGTTGACAGAGTAACAATATTTAATTATACCACAAGGCTTTATTTATGGGCAAACCATTGCAGAAGAAAAAAATATGAAAAAGATATTTTTTCCCCCCCAAGACTAACTCTGAAACTAAATTTGACCTGGCTGTGCAAGGAAACCTTCTTTATTTAGCGTGCTTGGGCAAGCAGTGCTCTGTCTCCTGAGAGATTAACATTGTAAGCAAGTTATGCAGGTGACTCAAATCCAGTTAATCTCACATAAAGAATGTTAATTGCATTGGCAATGGCATTCACTCTGATCACTTTATAGCTGTATAATTAGCTATTGGACATATTCAAGGGGTTTTCTGAGTGATACAAATACAGGAAGCAACATAAGAGATAACTTGTTCTTTCCTGATTCATGCTGTGCAAAACGCAGAGATGATGCAAAAATGGAAACAGCAGTTGTTGGTATTTGCATGTCCTTGCTAACTGGGCTCTGTCCTTACATAGGTATTAATTTTCTAGAAACTTCTTAAATGTTTTTGAAAATATACAGTTTTAGAAGCTGATATGAAACAAACATGTATTCTCCTAAATTGCCTTGATGTGGAATCCAGTGATTTATCTAATGACCTCAAGGCCATTTACTTTCTCCTCAGCTGGGTTCTCCTCAAAATGAGACAGGAATTTCTCATCTCCTGTACAGGAGAATTTACAGCCACAAGTAACAATTTCATAAGTATGCACATTCTAATTTCTAAGCTCTTTACACACAGCTTTTGTAAACCCAGTCTAAAATGATTTTTGTATGCAGACCAAGCCAGTGTACAGACAAACACAGAGTTGTTTAAATTCAATGGGGATGAACTAGGACCTCTAAATCACCAATTAGAATGCTAATCTGGATCTGAATTTCTTAGTTTAGGATCATGTCTTGCAGAACAAATGCCAAAATTAAGAGTATTGTGTATGAGCTGAGAGCAGGAGTTGGTCTAAGCTCTTCTTAGGAGCGAGGTTGTAAAAATGGTGCTGCTGCAAACTTTCAGAAAGTGTCATTAAAATATTGCCGTCCAGATTCACATAGTTACAGATGGGCCAAGTACATTGCTTAACATTAGGATTAAAAATAGGGGGTTTTTTGCTTTGTCCAGTTGTAATAAGTTTAGCAAATCAAAATTACTTTATCCAAAATTTCCCATGCCTAACTAGAAAACTGATATTAGTTGACAAAATTAAATTGACAAAATAATTCACTCTTCTCTAAGAATGTTAAAGTTCTTGCAGTTTGGAGGCAAAGGGAATAATTGGAGTGAAATGGGCAGGAATGAGAGGCATGGAAGAAGCTTTTAGTTCTGAGAAGTGCAGGTGCCTCATACTGAATATCAGGTACCCAAAATACATTTGGAAATAGCTACACTGTGCCAGGGATGTACTCTTTTTTTGGCTTGTCCACAGGATTTTCACTAAACTTAACCAAATATGCACCTGCCTTAAAAAAACCCCAAAAAATACCCTAATAGAGCCATCAAGTCATACAGTAGAGAACCCATGAATGCAGATCTGGGCAGCTCTTTCCTGTATCTACACTGTATTCCTGCTACTGTCACTCTTCTGTGGGCGTCCTTGAGTACTTCAGCTGATTTTTCTTGTGTTAAGTTTGTGGATGTATTTTGTGGATGTATTAAGTTTGTATTTGTGTGTATTAAGTTTGTATTGTGACCTGGGGAAAAGGAGCTCCAGTTCAAGTGCAGACCAAACACTCAGTGGAGAAGAGACCATTTGCTGTGAGGTACAAAAAGGGAGAGGCATGGTAGTTGGAAAGGGAATTGGACTTGAGAATTTGCTGGGTTCCAGGTGTGAAAAGTGATATTTCTGTGCTAAAAAAAAAAACAAAAAAACAAACAAAAAACAAAACAACAACCCAACAACAACAACAACAACAACAACAAAAAAAAAAACCAAAAAAAAACCAAAAACAAACAAACAAAAAAAAAAACAAAAACAAAAAAACCAAAAAAAAACAAAAAAAAAAAAAAAAAACCAAAAAAAACCAAACAAACCCCAAAACCATAAAATTACTAAGGAAACAGCAGCTGGATAGGGCTTGTATACAGACTTGAACTGGAAAATTACAAAGAGCTGGATATGACTTGTACACAAATTTAAAATGGGAAATTATAAACATTTCAATATAAGCAGAGAGGTTAGAAATTAATTTACTTGCCCAAACATTGCTGGAATCTGAAGATCCTGGGCAGGAATAGGAATAGGACAAAAGCAATGACTTGGGGAGAAAAATCTTTGCCCGTTAGCCATGCTTTTATCTCTATCATCTGGAAAGGTGCTATAGATTCTTGAGCATGTCTATTCTTCTGCTGACAAAATATGTTTTCCCCTGCCAATAGGTTTCCCTGCTAATAAGGAATTCCTGTGTGATGCTGTCACTCATTTACATAATTACTAACAGGTGGTTTTGTGTTCCTCCTTTTCTGACTGATACTCCGATTTGTAAAAGTGATGAACACTTTTTTGTCTGCAGTTGAATTAATGGAAGCTGAGCTTTGAACACACAAAATTAAAACTTCATTTCCATCCAATGCCTCCCCATACCCTCCGAAAAAAAAAAAAAAAAACATTGTCAGTTTTGTGGCTCAGGTTGAACACCAAAATTTAGCAGATATTTTTTACCTTGCTTTCTAAGATCTCTATCATACCTCAGAGAGGAGCTATGAAAATAAGTGAGGTAGTTATAAGGCATTAAGATAGGTGTAACAGAGGTCCTGAGGAAATTAATAATTCTGTCTTTGAAGTGCATTTTGAGTAGTAAGACAGGAGGCCACCCTCTAAACAGTATCACTAAAGCAAAATATTAAACACCTGCTCATTAAATGAGTACCAACAATCTGGTGATGTTTGGGGAAAAAATAGTGTATGATCATATAATTGCAACCAGTCCCATAAGGCATCATAAACAGAAAGGAAGTGATTAAAAGACATTCAGACAGCCTTAATTCTGTCAGTAAATGTGGCCTGCTTGATTTTTCAACCTTAATAATGTTCTTCTAACTTTTTTAAAAAAATTATTTGCATATAATAATTGTGCATAACCAACCTGAAAAATCAGCTCTGTAGTTATCAAGATAAATTTCCTGAGTCAGAATCTGGTATTGCTTGCATCTGTGTGAATTCTGAGTGATTTTTTTAAGTGACATCATATGCCTTAGCTTGCTGAGAGTGAAATATGAAAAATAGTGTGTAACCAGTTTTATATGTCCTTATGATAAATCCCTGTCTTGAGTGGAAATGCTGTTTCATATAAACCCAGCCTTATAATGGTTTGACTAGCATAAATAATTTATGACAATAAAAGTGTGGTATGGCTGAGAGGACAGAACAAAATTTGTGCCTTCCAAAGGCAACTTGGAAGCTAACCCCAGTGACATCCTTTCAAATGAAATTACCGGTACTTGGATTTTGTAGCAGTATAACTGAGATCAGATTGTGGCTCTGCATCTGGATTTTAAGCAGGCCTGTAGAACATTATGTTGATTAATACTATTTGTAGCTGTGCAGCCTAACATAACAAGGGTAAACAGAAGTTATTATTCAGACCTTAATTTGGTTTTCCATAGTGAAGTTGGCAATGGGGATCAGGGAATCTCTGTTCTGTGCACGACAGTTCACAATTGCCTGAGGTGCGTAACACAGAGTTTAAATTTTCCTCCAAAGCATCAAGATATTGATCACTGCCAAAGGCAGGCTGGCTCCTGCTGGGAGCTCCTGCTCCAGCTCATACATTGCTGCGGCAGGAGCTCCCAGCTCAGGCTCCATCTGTGCAGGGCTGCAGAGCCACAGCTTTTCCAGGGGAGAGAATGGCCCCAGAGGCCTCTCCGCTGTCCGGCAGGTGGCTGGTCGGTCCTGGCACAAGCTGCCTTCTGGTGGCTCTTGCTGGAGGGTAGGATGGGACAGCCCCTGCCTCTCCAGCCTGGCAGCCTTCTTTCTAGCTCTTTATGCACATCATCAGTTCCACTTGTCTGAATTTGTGGAGCTCAGCCTCCTTTCTGTTTGATGGATGGGTAAGCAACAAGATGCTGAAAAGTCAAAAAGTGTTCATTTCAGCCCTCTGACTCACTGTGGAATTTTAATGTCTCTTTCAAGAGCGGCCCACGTTTCTCAGGCGACCGATTAACCAAGTGGTGCTGGAGGAGGAGGCCGTGGATTTCCGGTGCCAGGTGCAGGGGGATCCCACACCCACAGTGCGGTGGAAGAAAGATGATGCAGACTTACCGAGAGGAAGGTGAGAGCCACATTCACGTTCACTTCCAGATTTCAATTGTTGCACAATGCTGGAATCCATCCCTACTAGCAAGAGTTTGTTCTTTGACATTGTGTCCAAGATTTACTTCCCACGTTGCTGCTCTTTTGGCACTACAAATCTTCTTCCAGAGGCAGCTGTGCGGGGAAGCCCAACCTGGGTGAATGTCCAGGTAATGGATTCCTGTGGAGGAAAGAAAAGTGATCTGTAGGTGTTGTGAGCACATGGGTATTCAGCGAATTTATTGGAGACAGTAAAGATGTTTTAGGACTGTAATGGTGATAGTAGCCTTCACAATGATATGCTGATACCAAGAGGGAGAAAACTTGGCAGGAAAGTTGCTCTGTTGCACTGGCAAGGTGAATTACAAGCAGAGCATGGTGGGCTTTGCTGGCTCCTCGGTTCATGTCTGTTAAGTCTTGGAGAGAAACCTTCCTCTTGAGGAAACAAAAAGCCAGACTAGCAGAAGTGTAAAGCAGAGTTGAAATCTGGAACAGGCCCCCTGTGTTCAAGAAAGATTAATTTAGTCTGGAACAAACAAGGAGAAAATTTTAGCAAGCAGGGGAAGGGAGTCTCTCCTGTAAAAGGGTTTTAAATTAGTTTGGCTCCTTTCAACTAAAAGAGCAATTTTTGGTTCTCATTTTCTGGAACTCTTTATTGTTTTTATGCTGAATCATTATTTCATTAAAAAAATCTCAACATGGAACTAGTTCTGGGAACAGGAATTAGAACCCAGGTCTCCACAACCCAACAAGTCTTTCTGGCACTATGAGTCCTGATTTATTTTTGCACAGTTTTAATTTTTGCAGAAGACATGAGTAGTGCCTCTTTTTTTTTCTCCACCATAGCTGACATTTTCCATCAGTTGACTATACTAATGGAAAAATACATAATCTAGAAAAAACATTTCTATGTAAGTTTGATATGTATGTGTGTGTATATATATGTACTTTTAAAAAAATTCATTTTCTGGCAATTAAAAAAAATTAAATGTGACATAGCTGTTTTGCTTATTATATTGACAGATGTGTATGAATGCAATAGGCAAAATATTATTTTCAGGAGAAGACTTTTTGATGTCAGGACAGATTTTTCTCTTTGCTTGCTCTTTAACTATATACTGTAGAGTACTCCACAGTAAATATATTGTGTTTCTGTGATTTATTCTTGCTTTTGTGCTACTTCTGTTGTTTAAATCATGTCTGCTTCTAGGTCTCATAAGCAGAAGTAGTAGCTGATGAACCCACATAGTCTTTGGTTTGATTCCACTTCTGTGAGATTTTTTTTTCTCCATCATCTGCACTTCGGAGGCAAATGCCTCTGATAATTAGCATTGTATGCTTTCTATTCTATGATCTTTTATTTATATAGCATGATATGCAAGCATATCTTCACTGTCCAAAAAGTGGACATTTCCAAACTATGCTGCATGATGCTTAATCAAGGAAGATAAGCTTGGAACCTCTAAAACAAAAGCTATTGTGTTTTTTCTGGATTTTTTAATACCAGCAAATAAATTTGCCCAGGTATAATCTGAATGAATGCATGGATGAGAAAATTATGATATCAAAATTTTATAGTTTCTGAAAGAAAGTCAAAATGATTCCTCACTGTTGAAATTGAGGGATTTATTTTTTTGAGGTAAAAGACAAACTGAGCTCCTGTATTTTAAGCATTTTAACATCTATAATGAAATATAAAGCCCTCAAGGTTTTCCCTTTATTATTTCTTCCCACATGCATAAATACTTCTGAACAGATCTCTGAGCTATTTCTCTTATAACTTTCAATATAAATTTCCTGTTTCTATAGCTAACAATGTTCTTTGTACATCTGTCTGTTTTTCGTTTTTTTTAAATAATTTCATTTTGGCTTCATCCCTAGATTGCAAGACAATTATAGTAGGTACCTGTTTAAACAAATACAGCAGATTTTTAAATGTGTCTATTGTTGATTCAGCTTTCAAAAGTGTCTAGTTCAGTGACAATGAAGTGGAACAAACTGAATTTTTGTATGCATTTTGTTTCTGTAATTTGCTCCTGGTGAATGCCAGAATCAGTGACAGTGAATCCATAGTTTTTCAGAAATCCTAGTCTGTTTTTCCACCTTACCTTGTTTTAGTTTTTTTAGTGACCCATGAGAAAGCAAAGAGAAAAGTAATGCCAGTGATTTCTGATGACAAATGCGAACAGTATTGCTACACTAAGTGGTGTGTTGAGTAGTAATTGGAAAATAATTTCAGGCTGTTAAAGCCCTAATTATAAAGGTCCCAGATGGACTCTAAGCATCTCCAGTTGCAATTGGATTAAATGAGAAAAAAACCCCAACTTCTAAAGAAATTACTATGTTTGAAAACACGACTCTATAAAAAAATAATTTGGCTATTTGTAAAATTGTGTGTGTAATTGCTCAGGAGTATATAAATAACCATGCTTCAAATCTGAGAATAAACAGTTTATTCTGATGTTGCAAAACTTCATTCCCAATTTCAGTTGTTATGAACTGATGATGTAAGTCAACTATGATAGTCTGTATATTTGAGAAACAGTTTTTTAAATGCCTGGGAAACACTGGTCTCACTAGTGGTCAAAGGAAATTACTTATCCAACATCCTGTAGACCTGACTTGAGATTTCAGGCCATGATATATATCATGGAGCTCCTCTGTGTATGACTGGGCAGGAATTAAAAAAGTTATAAATACTAGGTGAAAACAGTAGCATGAATAATGTATGATAATTGCTTTCATAGTTCTTTTGCACTGTTGTGATAAAGAATTATTTATATTCTTCAGTGCTTAAAATTCTTGTTAGAGCCTAAATTGGTTCCTGCAAATTAATATCTTGTTGATCTAAATGTTGATACTGCACCAACAGGGAGACTCAAAATACAGTGTGAAGTCTAGGGTATGTAAAGCCTTTTTACAGAAGCTGTCCACTTCAAATCAGTGACCTAAGACTGAAACGCATTGTGAATCAAAGGTTGAGGCACATGTTGTATATTTTATTTTAATTGCTCTAAAAATTCAGCCTCATACCACATCCTCCACAGTACACAAAGGGTGGGGAATAGTTAATCAAGTATGACTCATGTCAAACTACTGGAGGTGAACAGGATGTTGTGGGGTCACCAGTCCTATTCCTTTGGCTGCAATATGAGGTTCACTATTCCATGAATAGAGTTTTTTCTCATTATAAGTGACACAAGGAAATGGCACAAAGATTGTGTCAAAGTGACTCAGACAATTGTGGCTATGCATAATGATTAAGACCTACTGAAAATTAAATAAAATTTGTCTTTATGCATTGAAATTTTCTTCCAGATACATTTTCAGGTATCTTTCCCTTTGATGTCTGCTCAGCAGAAATAGAGATTATACTTTCCTTCCAAGGAGCTGATGGTCTCCTGTGTGGTAGAGAACTCAATGTGGCCTGGATCAACTTTTCATTCATCTGCATTTTATTCCTGGTAACAGGAAGAAAATGACATTATTTGAGAGCCTGCAGTATGAGAGTGGCAGATCTATGACTAGCAATTTAATAACATTTGAATAAGGTTTGTACAGTGTTTCATGTCTTCAAATTTTCTAGCGAAGCCGAGGAGAGCAGCTGCATGGTCTGTAATTATATAGCAAGTAATAAGTACTTTTTTTTTTTTAGGAAGTGAAGAGATTTTCAATTACAAGTCAAAATTTATGACACACTATAATAACTGTTTAAACCTTTTATACAGAAGAAGTTAGCAGTGCCAGCTCTTCGGGAGAGTGAGGTTAGCTCAGCAAATGTATTTTTCAGTTGCCTTAAAAATGACTGAGTAGCAATCACTTAGGCCATTTTTGCATTCCAGCTCAGAACAGCTGTTTTAGCTCAGTAAATACATCTTTAATGAAATTACAACCTGCTCTTTTAAGTTGCATTTACAGGCACCGTCTGATTAGATGGATATTGTACTAGAGATGAGAAGTGGCAATTGCACCAACAGGGAGAGGTATTTATGTGCCACCCACACAATGGAAGTGTGGGCAGAAAAACCAAGAGTGATGCTTCAGACGGAAAGTGGTGTGTAGTTTACACAAGGTATATTGCTAAGTGTTAAGAGATTGTAGGTTATTAAATGAAACTGAGCAGTAACACGCAGCAGTAAAAATCATAGATAGCACAGAGAGGTTTCTTATTTGCTGGAGACTAGGAGTGCTCATTAAAAATTATTTGGAAATAAGCATTCTTAAGGCACAGAGAATGTATTCTAAGATATGTGTTAGCTGCAACAGCACAAGCTTGTGTAGGTGTTAGTTTTGCCATGTTTTTAATACTGTCTGCTTTTTTTTTTTTTTATGCATATGCATAGTCTGGGCAGAAATGCTGTCTGTCACACTTCTGATAGAGCTTAATGAAAAAGCACACCTCTGCTTTCCTCCATGGCTTCTCGTGAGCCCAAACCTAGGTGTATAACATGACATTTTAAAAATATCTTACGGTCTTCCAGATGCAAATCTTTGAAATGGATTTAAACACAACTGATAGCAAACCTAATGAACTAAGAAAAGCTGGATTTTTTTAAGAGGACATCCAAAAAGAGCCTGATAGCCAGAGAAGTTTTGCATTTTTATTTCTCCATTGTGATGGGTTGACCCTGGCTGGATGTCAAGTGTCCCCCAAAGCCTTTCTGTTATTCCCTTCTCAGCTGGACAGGGGGCAGAAAATATAATGAAAGGCTCATGGGTCAAGATCAGAATGAGGAGAGATCACTCATCAGTTAGTGTCGTGGGCAAAACAGACTCAACCTGGAGAAAAATCAGTTCAATTTATTATCAATCTCATCAGAAAAGGATAATGAGGAATAGAACCAAATCTTATAAACACCCTTCCCCCACCTTTTTCCTTGATGGGGAAAGGGGCTCGTGGTCAGTTCATCACATCTTGTCTTTGCCACTGCTTCCTCCTCAGGGAGAGGAGTTTGCTTCTGTGCCTGGAGCTCCTTCTTC